GGTATCTTGATTGTTGTAGTAGCTACATGAACCTACATGTGATAAAACGACACAGAACTAGGCACACATTGTTCCATTGCCAGTTTTCTGGTTTTGATATAATACCACAGTTATATAAGATGTGGCCATGAGAGAACTGAGCGAAGGCTGTGTGAGACACTGCTACTTTGTGCGACTTCTGGTGGATCAGTGATCCTTTCAAAGTTTTAGACACTTCTAAGTGAGTGGGCTGAAAGAGTGAGCGTATATGGCTAACCGCGATTGCCCCTGCTCATCTAAAACCCTGAGAAATTTGGAACTCTGCGGTCTTTTTTTGTTCATCGTGCTACGTGGAACCACCTGAGGCTTTCAGAATGTGTAATAACAGGACACGGACCAGAGGTCTCAAACTGGTGCTCCATGGGCCTCATCTGACCTGCAGATGTGTTTCATTGCTGACATACAATGGAACGTGTCCTTGTTAGAACTTTTTTTTTTAACCCTCACCCGAGGACATTCTGCATTTATCTTCAGATAGAGAGGGAGGGAGAGGGAAAGGGAGAGGGAGAGGGAGAGGGAGAGGGAGAGGGAGAGGGAGAGGGAGAGGGAGAGGGAGAGGGAGAGGGAGAGGGAGAGAAACATCAATGTGAGAGAGACAAAACGACTGACTGCCACCCACACAACCCCAATCGGGGCTGGGAGCAAACTGCAACTGAAGTATGTGCCCTTATCAGGAACCGAACCCAGGTCCCTCAGGTCCGCGGGCCGATGCGCTAACCACTGAGAAAACCGGCCAGGGCCAAAACTATTTTAGTACAGGACCCAGTGTCCATCAGTTTGGTTTTCAGAAGATAACTCCCTCAACGCAAATCCTCTTGTGCCAGCTTTTACCATTTTCACGTCTCAAAATGTGGTCATCGTCTTAGATGAATTCATATCAGTAAAAATGCTTTCTTTTTTTTTTTTTTATCCTCACCCGAGGACATTTTTCCATTTTTTGTTCAGATAGAGCAGGAGGGAGAGAGAGAGAGAGAGAAACATCGACGTGAAGGAACACATCGAGTGGCTGCCACCCGCACGGCCAACCAGGGCCAGGGACAAACTGCAACCGAGGTACGTGCCCTTAGCGGGAACCGAACTCGGGTCTCTCTGTACCGCAGGCCGACGCTCCAACCGCTGAACCAAATCGGCCAGGGCTAAAAATGCTTTCAATACAGGAATCCTGTTGCCAGGGGACTGATTACGGTTCGGAAGTCAAGCACTTGTTCAGTTCAAATGGAGTGCTGAGAAGGTGCCATACCTCTTCCATAATGTCATCATTTGTTTGGCCATGACCAGTGGCTGCCCACAGGATGCAAGGCACCGTGCCGGGCACCTCGGCATCCACAGAGTGCCAGCTGGGCAGGAGCTTGGCCCCAGTTACTTGTTGGTTGAAAGCTGTGGACAATGTAGATATTTATCCAGGCCCCACAATACACTTGGCAGGCAGCAATACCCTAGACTGTGAGATTCAGGATTTGTCACTGAGGTTCCAGATCTTTTCTTTGACTGTCTGTGTTCATACTTCGCCCAGATTCTGCAAGGACTGTGTCTCTGCAGCCAGAGGAAGGGATACCGCAAGCAGCTCATTAGAGTGAAACCGGGACTCTCTCAAAGGTGTATTTGGTCTGACTGCTCACACAACCAGCAAGATATTTCACGAAATCGAAATACAAAAATTAAATAAACCATCCGAGAGAGCACTGGGCTTAAATCACAGCGTATGGAATTTAGAGTACGTTCAGATAGCCTCTGAAAGGAAAGTGTTCAAGTTGGAAGAGCACAAGAGGTGCTGAAATCCCCTTAAACATTTTTTTATTGGAAAAGAGACATTGTAACCTTTTTGAAAGGTTAAATGCTTTTTTTAAAAAGCTCATTAAAGCAATGATGGATTTTTTTCTGATGATTTTTTCTAATTCAGTCCTCACACGCGGAACACTGCCGTGCCCAGGCGCCCTGCTGAGCCGGTGGCACACGCCTTATTCCGTGACCTCACTGGTGTTTCGTGTCTCAGTGAGCACCACCCACGTTCCTGGTATGGCACAGCGTCCAAGAACTCTTACAAAAATTATCCGAGGCCATGTCATCATGTCCACTAATCTATGTTATTGTCTCAGGAAAAAGTTAAATTTTTTAACTCATTTTTTAAACTATCGCTGGTACATAAACATGACAACTAGTGGGCACACTAAAATTTTAAATATATACAGCCTGGTCTTCTTTCAGGAAGGTGTTTCCAATGTGTCCTTTTCCATCTTCTTGATTCTTTGTCGCCAAAGAGCCCTCCTTTTATTAGTACTTGTCTGAAGGCTGACGGTGCATCCCGGCTTCCTGGTCCACCAGCCACCTTCCTGCGGGCACAGAGGCACAGAGGCTCACAACAGGAGCACAGGTGCCGCGGTCAGAGTGGCCAGCTGTCCCCCAAGGACCCGCACGAAGACGCGTTCCTGGGGAGCCTTCACAGAGGGGGATGGGGCCGTTCTCTTGGTCCCAGAACTGGGCTACCAGAGCTCCTCCCACTTGCACCCTTGATTCTTTCTGGAGACATTCTCTCCTCGGACCATTGAAACACAAATATATTCCGTCCTGACCCAGGAGGCTTCATGAGCCTCACAGCCCTTAAAGCAGAGCATGAAGAAAAACCTAAAATTCTTGGCGCGCTCAACTGTTTTAAAAACAAATAATAGTTACGCCAGTAAAACTGTCATTTTCAGTGACTGTCCTAATTTAAGGAAGGAAAACATGAAAGTGTAAGGCTTTTCTGCCAACCTAATTCAGATCAGAGATGCCGTCTCCTTGGGCTAGCATGTCTCATCCTGCACGACAGCAGTCAGAAAAGGAGGCGGCACTGCCGGTAACTGTTTAATGGACATTTCCCCAGAAATTAAAGTGCTGCTTTTCAAAGCACTCAGTCACTGTGCGGTGCAAGCCCCAGGGACACTCGCCGCTCCGCCGCGGCAGCCCGCCCCCGCCCCGCACACAGCACCCGCAGCCCGGGCTCTTGCTGTTTGAATTAAAGCAGGTGGAATGTTCGGGTCTGTGATCAAAGCCTTTGGCCATCATGTGAAACCAATCGGAGTGCCCTTTATTATCGTAATTTCCCAGTCCTCAGAAAATGTCATCCGAAGTGTGGCAGGGGGACCTATCTCTTTCCTCTACCAGGTGTTGCTTTGCTTCAGGGGCTTTTCAGATTTGGGTTTGGCTTTATTAGTGGGCGGTGTGTTTGTTTATTGGAGTGCCCCCCCCCCAGTGTTTTGGGGGTCTCCTGACAAACAATGAACATGGATCCCAGGTGTTTTTGTTTGGTCAGAGTCTAATCGTCTTTTTTGTTTTTAATGACTTCGTTGATAGTAGCCATCGCAAGTCTGCCAACAGAAAGGTGGATTTTTGTTCATAAGGGAAGAAAGCAATATTACAGCCTTTTGATCATTAACTTTCCCTTCCCTGCCTCTGTCTAAAGAGCCAGGACTTCTCCCTCAACAGCAGACACAAATGAGAGGCTACAAAAGAAATCCCCGCCGCTCAGGCGAGGCACGAACGGACAGCTGCTGTCTGATGTTGAAGGATTTCGTCAGGCCATAGGTGTGAACTGTGCACTGGTGGGAGACATAAAAACCACTAGGAAAGGTTATGTTCCAACCCACTCTTTCCCTAACCCTGCAGTTCAAAAGAGTGCTTTTATTCTCTGATATATCCTGCAACACAGCTTTTTTTTTTTTTTCTTGTCACGCTTCTGGAAGCCAGGTTCCAATGAGGATAAACTCCTTAAACCATCCCCCTACCTACCCCCACCTGCAGTGCCCCCACACTAAGGATTTATGAGCTTCTGTCCTTGGGCAGAGCATTTGTCAAAGATGTAAAGGGTCCTTTCCCTTGTCCAGGCTGAATTGCTCTTGAGACCCTGCACCCTGACCAGCTCCCAGCCCAGCTCCCAGCCCCTGGCTCCGCCCATGGCCAGCCCTCTTGCAGCCGTGGGCCCCGTCGGCAGGGGCAAGCGAGCATGTGCTGTCCACAGAAAAAGTGATCACGGCATTTCCGGGTGTAGCATTTGACCTCAACAGAACAGATTTAGATGTGTTTCAATTAATACAGACCTTTGAAGATACTGAATTGATGTGGGTACCAAAACTTTCTTCTTGGCTCACTCTTGGGCTAAATGTGTGCTATCTGAATTTTTGGTTAATTGATTGCGATTAGAAAAATGCCCGTTTCCCCTGTTCTTTTGGAGGATGTTCAGCAGGGCAGAGTATCAGCATGGATGTGAACACGCAGTGTAATTAGAAATGTGAGTGCTCTAAGCCAGCTGCTCCACTGGGGTTGCATTTTAAAATCTGGAATATATAAAAACACGTCAGGGATGGATCTTCAGTCCTTAAATAAAAAGCTCAAAGGAAAATTACTGTTTACTCAGCAAGCCAGCTCCGGTGAAGAGCACAGCCCTCGCCTCCGTGGACGGGAAGAGGTGGGTCCGGGTTATGTAACTGCTGGCCGCGGTCTGCGGAGCCGTCCAGTCGGCCAGGAGAGGACGAAGCAGAGCGCGGCCCCTTCCTCACAGCCCCCGTCCTAAAATAAAGCAAACAGACATTTTCAATTTTTGTAAAATATTTCAGGTATTTTGGATTTCCTTGCCTCCCTGTAATGATTAGATTCGGGGACGCCTGAGGAGAGGCGTTCTCAGAAACAGCAGCAAAACAGAAAGTCGTTCTGGAATCACCGCCTTCCCTTCTGACACGGCCCTGCAAATAGCACGCCGCCTACCAAGGGTGCCGACTCTCACTCCCCGTTTTATTTACACACACGTAATGTTTTCTAACCGTTGAGATTTGACCTTGATGATTGCTCAAGTGCCAAGTGATGGTGGACAGATGTGTGGCCTGTGCCTTCTCTCTCCTCTGGTGGAATGACAGCTTGCTCGGTGGTGCCCCGTGTTTGCTCACTTGGCTTTCCTTCCCTTTCCTTCCCGGGGCCCTGTGGGCTGGCAGCGCCGTGGTCCAGCAGGCCGACTGCAGAGCCTCCGTGCCCTCCAGCAAGGGCAGCAGCAGCGGCAGCAGCAGCAGCGGCAGCAGTTCGTCCAGCGACTCGGAGAGCAGCTCCGGATCCGACTCCGAGACCGAGAGCAGTTCTAGCGAGAGTGAGGGCAGCAAGCCTGCCCACTATTCCAGCCCTGAGGTAAGCCCTGCACCGGCCTGAGCCCCTGGGGGTGCCGTCAGCCCGTGGACGCTGGTTCTCATAGCTCCCCACCTTCGTGCTGTGACGGCCACGACCCCTGGAGCACCACCCCTCAGCAGCCCGTCAGGGTTTGTCGGGCCCATCATTTTCCCTACTTGATCCCCTCCTCACGGTTTTCTTAATTACAGAGCTTCCTTGGAAGTGCAAAAACTTCAGATTTCACTGCCCAAAAATCTCTATTTTGACTTCCAGAAATTTCCAAATATGCTGTAAATATTACTGACCGGAAATACCCCCGTGGATCAGGTCTCCCTCAGGGTCAGCAAGGCAATAGCAACCAGGCCAGTTTACTGTCTGGGAAGCGCGGTCACTCGTGAATCACAGGGAAAAGAGTTTTATGGATTAGACATGGTAAGATCTTACCTTTCGCAGTTTGTCATGGATTAGAACAAGAGCTATAACTATTAATAACACCTTCCTACCTGTGTTTTCTTTGTGAAAATGTAAAAAAAAAATTAAAAAAAATTAGCATCAACCTACAAATAATAATGAAACTTTTTATAGCTATAATGAGCATCTATGTGGGGGATTTAGATGCCTCATATAAAAACATTACAAGGTACCCATAAAAGCACTGCTATTTCTACTTGAAAGGGGCAGATTAAGTAGTATTTCAGAACACGGAGCTTCCCGCAAGAGGGTTGAGAGCAAATTTCTCGAGTCCACGGCTCTGCAGGGGAGACTCTGATTTCTAAAAGAGGAGTAGAATGCAGTCTCTTCTCGATACAAACATCTGACATTACCATGGATTGTAGGGTTTCATTTTTCACCTGCCAACCCTCTGTATCGCTTTGGGCCTCAAATTTCTAACAGGCTCTGAAATGAAACAAAAGCCACTCATGCAAACCACGGCAGTGAGAGGCAGCACCATGCGGGGGCGCAGCTATTCCCAGCTCTTGTACCTTTGCCTGAGGACACGGGAAGGCAGCTGTGGTGGTATCTGAAGTCCACAGAGTGGTTCTTCAGTGCCCCCAGGATTTCCCTGTCCTGTGTCCCCTCAGGAGGCAGAGGCTTTTTGCAGAACTAAGAAACCCAGGGAAGTGATACTTTCCCACACTCTCATTTCTTCCCCAGCACCTTTCTGCTGTGCTCCAAGAGCTAGCTCTAATTCATCCTGAAATAAGCCATGTCTTCTGCGCTCCTCTCCCCTTTCCGTGAGGTTTACCTCCTCCCCACCATCTCTCTCTCTCTCCCTCCCTCCCTATATTAGGGGAAGGCTCGTGGCAACATTAACCTATAAAAGCCACAGGTTGATATAACCCTGACTTTTCCCTGAAACTAAGTGAGTGCTCCTTCTTTATTACTTGATTCATTCACTTATTCAGTGTTCATTCAACAGATACTTATCGAGCGTCTGTCACAGACCTGCTGCTTGGCTGTGGGATACAGCAGTTATCTGGCATGTCCCTGTCTTCATAGAGCTGGCAGAATAATGGCAATAATTTGGGGGGGGCAACAAAACAGGAGTTCAATAAAATAGAGGTGTTAAACAGGCTTTTTCAAACCAACTTTATGTTACAATTTGTTGGAAACTCCAGCATAGTATTAGCTGTAAGAAATAACGGGGTTCCAGGGGCATTGCAGAAACCAAGAAGGGCAGTGGAGGTGAATGAAAAGTGTTAGTCTGTGAAGACACCCCCTCTCCTTCCCACCGCCTCGGTCCAGGCCCTTCTCTGTGACTTTGAAGGTTAAATTTATGAACAGTTGAGTCTTATTCTCATGAATGAGGCTGAAACCCAGCCTAAGAGAAGTACAGTTATTAGGTGCTTTAAGCAAGTTCTTTCTAAATGTCACTGAGATCATTACAAAGACTTGAACTCCTTGGTGATGAAAGGAAGCTCTTGTCATTTCTTCCAGCAGCTGTCAGAGGCCCTCGCTAAGGAGAGGGAGCCCCAGTGAAGCAGGCCTCAAAGTTCGAGTTGCCTGAGGCCACATATACTTGTCAGTGTCTCGCTTCTCTGTGTCTCTGTGCAGAGGAACGTGGAAGTGGCAAGTGAGGTGTTAACCGCCCTGCAACTCACCTCTTTCTCCTGGAAAGAAATGTCTTAGTTGGAATAAAAGTAAGGTTTCTTTTAACATTTTCCCCCAAGATTAATACAGACACACACCCGTTAGAAATAAGGCGAATTTTCAGAATTAAAATTGCCAAGAAGGGAAGTAGCATAATGGGTCTGAGCCCCCACAGTGTCACTGACCAAGCTGGCCCAGGTCACCTTGCAGAGCGCAGTGAGGCTCGTTCCCCAAACGCCACAGGGCGCGGAGCTCTGTAGAGCCACTCACCTCACGTTCCGCTGTGCAGACTGGTCTATGCTGCTTAGAAGCAAAATGTTTCTGACCCTCTCACGTCCCCTCCTGGTCACATCCTGTGTGGGGGAGTCGAAGGAGGCCCTCGTGATGTTTCAAGGACCCTGCACAGTCCCCCTCAGCATGCCAGCACCGGGAGCCCGTGGGACTGGCTGAGTTTCATCTGAGCTGTTCTTCGTGGCCGCGCCTGCAGACAGACACTGCCTTTCCCGGGAACCGCCGCAATGGGCCGCCCTGCCGCACTGGCACCGAAGGGCCCCTGCAAACACTCTTCCCGTCGTGCAGGTCCCCTCCTACGGCCTGTTGGCTTAGTGGTTCTCAACCTAATTTTTTTCATGTGAGTTTCCTCCTCTTTTCTGGCCTGGTGCATCCTTCCATGCAGAGCTTGCCAGGGGAAAGTGCCTGCCCCTCAGCTAGCAGATGACACCTGTGCGGAGCTCCCAGCCGGTGGCATCAGGTTTCGAGGAGGACCAGGACTACGTCGGTTTACCCGCCCGCGTCTTTGCTCTAGGGCTTCACCCGGCCCGTAATATTGCTCCTATCAACTGTTTTCCATTATACATTTCCCAAACTTATCTGATCATGGGGAGCTTTCTCGTGGACTGGATGGACTAAAAGCGCATTTTGGAAAACGCTGCCCTAGATTGTTCTTGAAAATCAGCAGAAATGTGATGCAAGTTATTCATTGATTGGGCAAGCTTCACCTCAACGAGGCATCTGGGAGGTCCCTGGCAGTGGGTGCTGTGGGGGGCCTGGCAGTGGGCACTGGGAAGGATCTAGATGCAGCAGGGACTACAGTGCCCAGTGGAAGGCTTAGGCATGAGTCCGAGCAGAGATTAGTCAGGGAGAGAATCACAGCTGAAAATATAAAGCTGTGAGTAAGCAAACAAAACCCTGGGCAGAGACCCTGGTGACTGGCTCAGGAAGTCGACCATATGGGCAGCTGCCAGTGCACGCAAGTGCCCTCCCTGAGTCTTCCCCCTTCGCTGACACGTCTTCTCGGGTGAGCTTCCTTGGCCGCAACAGCCCCATCCCCAAATGGCAGATATTCCTGCGCTGCCTAAGCTGTGAGGTTGTGCTGAGTGACAGCCCACTGTGAGTTCTCAGAGCAGAGTCATAGCGTCCCCAACCTGTTACAGACACTGCAAAGGACACACGGAAACAGACCTGGCTCCTGCCTGAAAGACGGTTTGGCTTTGTTGAAGACACAACTTATACACATGAAACAAATTGAACATCAAGAGGCTGTGCAGCTGAGGATAACAGAAGGCACAGGTGTTGTTTGGGGAGTTAGTGGTATTCTCCAAAAATCAGACCTGATTCTATCATTTTGAGGTTGAAGACTGACATTTCTCAATGGAATGAGGCCCCCCTTTTTTTAAGCTACTCCAGACTAATGGGAGATTAGGGGAAGCAGCAGGGGAGAGAACCTAGTCTTTGAACCTAGGCAAATACGGGTTTACTCTGCCTGCTGGCTGTGCAGCTTTGGACATGTCACTTAACCTCTCTGATCCTCATCTACAAATCAGGGGGCATAATATCTCTAATCTGTGTGGCTTAGATGACAGGCGTGAAGTGGGAGGTGCACTGTAGGTGTTCTGGCAACGAAAGATGACTGTAAGGTGATGGAGGCCCTAAATGCCAGCCCAAGAAATTTGGACTTCATTTGAGAGGGAATAGGAGGTCATTGCAGATCCTTGAGAAAGGAAGTGTGATTTAGTGATGTGTTGAAAATGGTACTTCAGACTGATTTTTTCAGCTGTAACGTGCAAAAAAGAAGACCCTAAAGCACATCAGGCAACAGGCCCAAACTAAATCTGTTAACTCCCCCTCACTGTGCGTGCTCCCACGCGAGTCTCCGTGGGGCCTGGTGCCATGAGCTGTGGAGAGCTCGCGGGGGCGGGGGTCCGAGCAGTGTTGAGCCTGGCCTGGGCCAGCGTGAGGGGCATGCGCTGCCACAGTGTTCGCTCCCTCTCCCAATAGGGTCCCTTTTCTGCAGGAGGCCCCTTCAGCCTCCGTTCCTGTTTACTGTGCCCCATTCATCCAGGAAGCTGAGGCTCACAAGTCACGGACCTGTCAGTGGTCACACAGTGAGAGAAGTGGGGGTGGGCGGAGACAGTAAGCGAAGCCATAAATTGTTTGCCACCAAATTAGCTTTCAGCCACACTCAGCTAAGCTCAGGGAGGGTGACAGCTTCCCCTTGTCAAAAAGCGGCTGTGTGTCCTGCTGTCCTGCTGTCTCATGGCGGGCGTCCACTGCCGCGGTGTGCCCAGGGGCACTCTTGACGTTCCTGCATTCCTTTTCTGCGGAGAAGCCAAAATAAAGCAAGGTCAGAATTCCCACACTACAACACCGGGCGCCAAAAATCTCTGTTATTCTGGGTCTTGCTCTGGAGCCCTGAAAACAAACAAAGCAAACAGCAGGGTCCTGAGGGTTTCTCCCCCACACCTGTGTCCCAGGGTGAAGCCTCTCTGTCTCACGGGCCCGGGGCCAGGCCTCCGGTGCTCATGCTGGACTCCACTGAAATTCACTTGTTCCCCGGCCCTGGACTCTCTGTGCGGGGGATCCCTGAGGTGCAGTTGGTCTCATCTGGTTTGGAAGAACCAGCAGGATGTCCCTGGTCACCTTGGCCCCAGGTCCTTCTGGTCTGTCAGTCTTCCCATCTTCCTGAGCTATGCCCTCCAGGACCCTCGTGTCCCTTTCACTCTCCTCATGTGTTTATGTCCCCAGTTCTGTTCTTAATGTGAACCTCACTGTTGAAAAACAAATCTTGATACTTAAAAAAAACACTTTTGGAATGATTGTGTTAAAGAAAATGTTTTTCTCTTACAAGGGAGCCTGACTTGCTCTGGACTGAACCACTTTGGCAAAGCCAGGCCATGTCCTCTTTATTCTAGGCTAGTATCTAGACTCCCCTGAAACAGAGGAGGCCACAATCAGAGGCTGGGAAAATACATCACAAAGTATTTTCTCCATTTCATGGATAGTCACAAATTGCAAACACTCTGGCTAGAGTTCTACACTTACCAATATACCTCTTTTCTACTAAGCATCATAGATGATGGATAAATGAAATTTTATTATAAATCAACCAATCAAGTATTTACTCAGTTCTTAACCTTCTTATGAGACATAGAACTGTGGCCCTCTCCTAGAAAAATCATCTGTGAAACATTTCACATTCTATTTCAGGTATTCATTGACCTTCCTGAAACCAACCCATGGGGCAGAGTTTAAAACCTATAATATTTATGATTTGCTCTAAGTTAGCAAAACAGCTTATGGGGAAGATTTCCATCGTCACTTTCCTGTCTGACACATTTCTGACAAAGTGGGGCGGAAGCAGGTCGGAGCTGCCGGAGCGCACAGGGCACACGCACAGGGCACACGCACAGGGCACACGCACAGGTCCCTGCTGGGCCGGAGTCCTGCACCGCGGACCCAGCCGCCCTCCCAGAGCTGCTGCCTCCACAGCCACTGTGGCCCACCGCCTTCACCACATGAGCTGGATGTTAATTCTTTGTGACTATAGGTTCCATTGGCCCCCTCTTCTAGTGTCCCTCCAAATTTTAAGTCTTACCAAAAAATGGGCACTTTAGCACTCAGGGACTCCAAACTATTCCCCAGTGAACTTTTGTGGAATCTTGTTTATGTTCGTGTGTATAGATCATAAAATATACACATTGTATAACACTCAAAGGTGTTGGACATGGGTTCTCCTGAGGCACAGTGCTATCCCTGAATTGTTCCTAATTGTCTTCAAAGTGCTGCCCAGACACTTAAGTGACCTGGGCCAGGGACTGGACACCATCCTGCCTCCGCGTCCCCGATGAGAGCGCCACTCACACTGCTGTGCTGTTCCTTCGGCCCCCAGCCCATTCCATCTGTGCTCCTACAGCTAGAGGAGTAAGTCACCATGAAAACAGCCAGGTCCCTTTTAAGTGAGTCTGTAATAAAAGATGTTTTGTTTGTTGCTGGTTTTCTGCTTGTAGGCTGAGCCCGCATCCTCTAACAAGTGGCAGCTGGATAAATGGCTGAACAAAGTTAACCCCCACAAGCCGCCTATTCTGATCCAAAATGAAAGCCACGGCCTGGAAGGCAGTCAGTACTACACCCCGGGGAAAGACCAAGCGCAGGACTGCGGGAAACTCCCCGACAGCTGCCAAACCAGCCTGAGAGAGAAGGACATCAAAAGCGCCTGCAAAGAAGAGCAGAGGCCAAGGACAGCCAACAAGGCCCCCGGGACAAAGGGGGTGAAACAGAAGTCCCCGCCCGCGGCGGTGGCCGTGGCCGTGGCCGTGACTGCAGCCGCCCCGCAGCCCACGGTCCCCGGGGCGCCCTCGGAGAGCGCGCCCACACCCACGCGGAGGTCTGCAGGCAAGAAGCCCCCCAGGCGCACCGAGAGGACCCCTGCCAGCGATAGTGCTAACTGCCCACGGCCCGAGGAGCCGGCGGATGCGCTGGGGGCGAGCGCAGCGATTGCTCCGGAGCCCACCAAAGCCAGGCCCTGTGCCAACAGCAGGACGAGCCACCGCAAGGAGCTGCGCACCTCAGTCACCTGCGAGAAGCGTCGCACGCGGGGACTGAGCAGGATTGTCCCCAAGTCCAAGGAGTTCATTGAGACAGAGTCGTCATCTTCGTCTTCCTCCTCAGACTCCGACCTGGAGTCAGAGCAGGAGGAGTACCCTCTGGCCAAAGCGCAGGCCGTGGCCGCCGCCTCTGCGAGTGACCAGAGGCTCAAGGAGGCTGCCAGCAGCGTCAGCAGTGGCGGCGGCCCCCGCGCTCCGGTGGGCTCCATCAACGCCAGGACCACCAGTGACATCGCCAAGGAGCTGGAGGAGCAGTTCTACACGCTGGTTCCCTTCGGCCGCAACGAACTTCTCTCCCCTCTGAAGGACAGTGACGAGGTCAGGTCTCTTTGGGTCAAAATTGACCTGACCCTCCTGTCCAGGATCCCAGAACACTTGCCCCAGGAGCCGGGGGTCTTAAGCACTCCTGCGGCCAAGGACGCTGAGAGCGCCCCTCCAGGCCACCCATCCGACACACCCTTAGAAAAGACTTTGCCAAAATCCAAGAGGAAACGCAAGGTAGGCTTGGGGCTGGGGGTGGCGGGGAAGGAGGGCTGTCCCCTAACTTGTGGGCGAGGTGACAGCATGGGTAGGCTGCTGGTCTGGAACGTGAGGCAGCAGTTCTGTCTTCACTCGGCAATCACTCATCTAGCGCAGATACTGCCGTGCATAGTATGAACTCAGTCAAGCCCGAACACCACCCAGTGAGGGCAGTACCATTACTATTTCCCTCTTATAGCTCTAAGTGATGAAGCCCTGTCCCACTGCATGTTGAAGTAAGCACACAGGACATCTTGATCAGGTGCGTGCTGAGGCGAGCTGGAGGCTGGGCCCGCAGAAAAGCCGAACATGTGGCGAACCTCATTCTTGGCGGGGAGGGATTTGGTGATATCAGCGGTGGGATTATTCACTAAGAAGCCAACAGAATTTAAGGCTGTTAAGGGGTGAAGCGTGAAGACGGAAATGCCTGGCGCCAGGCGGTGGGAGGGGCCCTGAGAGGGACAGAGCCTGCAGCCTCAGAGCCTGAATTTGTTGCTCTTGGTTGAGTTGGTCAAGGAGCTTGGTGGCGAAGAGGCGCTGGGAACAGGGCTCTGAACAGGAGGGACACTTGGTACAGTCATGTGCCCGTTCACGACTGGGATTTGTTCTGAGAAACGCATTGTTGGTGATTTTGTTCTTGTTTGAAGCACACAGAGTGCAGTTACACAAACCTAGATGGTCTAGCCTGCCACACACTAGGATGGCCTGGTGCTCCTCTGTCACAAGCCCGCACGGCGTGTTACTGCGCGACCTTAAACCAGGCCCGAGAGAGAATGACGCGCTCGGAGGCAGGTCAGCATGAGGCGTATGAGTCTGCTACTAGCATAAAACAGAATACTGCCTTACAGAAAACTTTTTTAAGGAGAAAGAAGACACTAAAATAACAATAAAAAGTGTAATAAGTATGTAAACCAGTAACACAGTCACCTGTTACCATCATCAAGCACGATGTGCTGTGTGTAATTGTGTGGGCCACGCGTGTCCGACGGGCAGCGCGGCGGGTTTGTTCTCACCGTCGCCACAAGCACGTGAGGATGCCTGCGCCCTGATGCCAGGAGGGCCGCAGCCTCACTAGGCAACCGGACCGTATCCGCTCCTGTACCGTCTGGGGGACAACCGCTGCATATGCAGTCGTCGTTGACAGAAGCATCTTCATGTGGCCCGTGGCTGTAGTCAGAGGGTCAAGGATGAAGTGGCACTAAAAGAGGGGGGAAAGGGTAGTCAGGGGAAGCAGGGGTGAGACAGGGAGTCCGGGGACAGAGAGCTGAGGCGCATCTGGAAACACCCTAATGCTCGGCAGTTTTCAAAGATTTTTGAGCATGGGAGTAACTTAGTCATAAGTTAAAGGCAAGTGTGAGGATTTTTGTCCCCTCCTGTTACTGTATCTTCAAAAGTAACTTGGACACATTGAGGAACAGCATGGATGACAAACCAAAGATTGCAGTAGTCAATGGATGGTTCCAAAGCTGGGATAAAATCATTCACAGCAGCTGACACACGTGCATGTCCTCATGAGGTGTGCTCTTCTAAGTACTTTGTACAGATTAAACCATTGAGTCTTTATCACTTTAGGAGGCAAGCATTATTGTCACACCCATTTTACAGATGAGAAAACTGAGGCTGAGGACCTTAAATGAACTTGCCTCAGGTTCACTAGGCGATAGGGGGCAGAGCAGGAGTGAGCCCAGGCTGTCTGGCTCAGGGGCTCCCAGTAGGAAGTCAGTCTTTCCCACAGGGCCCCTGCTCAGAAGGGCTCGGGCTTGCAGCTGAATGCTTGTGGCTGCCATCTTCAGTCTTCATTTTATCTCTGAGTTTGTATTTTGTAAGTGAAGGTGATGGAGCAGTAGAGCATACGCGGGACCATGTGGAGCTTTGACCCACCTGCAGCCCCACCTGTTTCCCCAGGACAGGTTCTATCTGCTCTTTGACCCCTTTGCACTCCTGGCCCTTCCAGGGAGGGGACTGCTGCACAGTGAGCGTGGGGTCAGGCTGGGCATCTCCCCTAATTGCAGGTCAGGTACTGAGTCTCCTGGAGAGGACACTGCAATCCCCGAGGGGTTGCCAGTTTTCCTTGGGTTATGGGGTGGGCCATGAAAGGGGAAATGCCCAGCTGGACTTCCTGCACCTCAACAGGTGGGTCCCACAACTGGCAGGCAGTGGAAACCTTCTGCTGGCAGGCTGCTTGCACGCACCCAGTCGCAAGATAGGACTCTTAGGCACTAGAGAATCTACACTCGCCCTTTCCCCCAAGTATGGTAACCCCTCAAGGAGCACAATATAAAATAGCAAATAATAAAAAAAAAAAATTATAAATTGAACTACCATTTGACCCAGTGATCCCACTTCTAGGAATATACCCTAAGAAGCCTGAAACACCAATTGGAAAGAATATATGTACCCCCATAGTCATAGCAGCACTATTTACAATAGCTAAGATCTGGAAACAACCCAAGTGTCCATTAGCAGATGAATGGATAAAAAAGGTGTGGTACATATACACAATGGAGTACTATGCAGCTGTACGAGAAAAAGATCTCTTATCCTTTGAGACAACATGGAGGGACCTAAGAATATTATGCTAAGTGAAATAAGCCAATCAGAGAAAGACAAATACCACATAATGTCACTTATTTATGGAATATAATGAACAGAAAAAGCTGATGAACAAAAAAAATAGACCCAGAGACATAGAAAGTAGTACGGTTCAGACTGACAAACTGCAGAGCAGGGCGGTGGCGGGGAGGGATGAGATAAACCAAAGAACCAAAAACTTACATGCATGTAAGCGTAACCAATGGACATAAACAACAATGCTTGGGCGGGGCGGGGGGCGGTTAGGGAGGAGGGTGTCTGGGGAGAAAAAGAAGAAACATCTGTAACAAAAATAAATTAATCAGCCCTGGCCGGTTTGGCTCAGCAGTTAGAGCGTTGGCCTACGGTCCTGAGAGACCCGGGTTCGGTTCCCGCTAAGGGCACGTACCTCGGTTGCAGTTTGTCCCCGGCCCTGGTTGGTTGTGCGGGTGGCAGCCACTCGATGTGTCCCTTTCACATCAATGTTTCTCTCTCTCGGTTCTTCTCTCTCCCTCCCACTCTACCTGAACAAAAATGGAAAAATGTCCTCGGGTGAGGATAAAAAATAAAAAATAAAAAAAATAAAAATAAATTAATTAATCAATAAAATTTTTAAAAACTGCCACACACAAAAAAAATTTTTTTTCCTAACCCAGCTGGTGTGGCTCAGTGGTTGAGCATTGAGCCATGTACCAAGAGGTCACTGGTTTGATTCCCAGTCAGGGCACATGCCCAGGTTGTGGGCCCAATCCCCAGTGTGGGGCATGCAGGAGGTGGCCAACTGATGTTCTCTCTCATCAATGTTTCTATCTCTCTCTCCCTCTCCCTTCCTCTCTCTAAAATCCATAAACAAAAAATATTTAAAAAAAAACTTTTCTAAATTAAAATTTTATAATAGAAAAAATAGCAAATAAACACCACCATGGCAGATCAAGAGAGAGACTTTGAGAGACAGGAAATTTTTCTACTTTAGTACTTTATACTTTACTCTTCCTGCTTTTAAAAAAATGTTTGCAGGATAATTGGCATAGCATTATATTAGTTTCTGGTATGCAGTGAAATGATTCTGCATTTGTGTATATTGCAAAGTGATCACCACAGTAAGTCCAACTGACATCTATCGTCATACATAATTACAAATTTTATTACTCCTGATGAGGACTTTCATAATCTGCTTTCAAATATGCAATACAGTGTTATCAGCTGTGGTCTCCATGCTGTACACTATGTCCTGGGACTTCCTTATTATGTAACTGGAAGTTTAAGTGGACTCCCTTCACCCATTTCTCCCACTCTCCCCCAAACCGCTAGACAACCACCAATCTGTTCTCTGTATACATAAGCGTGGGCTTTTATTTGTTTTTTGTTTTTTAGATTTCACATGTAAGTGAGATCATACTGTATCTATGTTTTTCTGTCTAACTTGCTTCACTTAGCATAATGCCCTCAAGCTCCATCCATGTTGTGACAAATGGCAAGATTTTATTCTTTTTGTTGTTGTTGTTAATCCTCACCCGAGGATATTTTTCTTTAATTTTTTTAAATAGAGTGGAAGGGAGGAAGGGAGAGAGAGAGAGAGAGAGAAACATCCATGTGAGAGAGCCACATCGACTGGTTGCCTCCCACATGACCCTGACTGGGACCGGGGATCAAACCTACAACCCAGGTACATGCCCTTGAACAGAATCAAACCCACGACCCTTCGGTCCTCCGGCCAACGCTCCAACTGCAGAGCCAAACTGGCCAGGGGTAGGTTTTATTCTTTTTTATGGCTGAATAATATTCCATTGTTTGTATGTGTATATAGGTGTGTGAATATATATATTATATATAGTATACATATAAGTTCCTTTACCCATTCATCCATTGATGGATATGTAGGTTGTTCCTGTATCTTGCCTATTGTAAACAATCCTGCAGTGAACATGGGATGCATCTATCTTTTTGAGTTCGTGTTTTTATTTTCTTCAGATGAATACCCAGAAGTGCAATTGCTGGGTTATATGGTAGTTCTATTTTTAATTTTTTGAGGAACCTCCATAGTGTTTTTCATAGTGGCTGCACCAGTTTACATTTCTACCAACAGTGCACAAGGATTCCCTTTTCTCCACATTCTTGCCAACACTTGTTATTTCTTGTCTTTTTGGTAATGGCCATTATAACAGGTGTGAGGTGATTATCTAATTGAGTTTTGATTTGCATTTCCCTGATCATTAGTGGTGTTGAGCATATTTTCATGTACCTGTTGGCCGTCTGTATGTCTTCTCTGGAGAAATGTCTATTCAGGTCCTCTGCCCATTTTTCAACCAGATTGTTTGCTTTAGTAGTGTGTGTGTGTGTGTTGCTATAGAGTTCTGTGAGTTCTTTATATATTTTATCTATTAGCTTTTTATCAGACATATGGTTTGCAAATATTTTCTCCCATTCAGTAGGCTACTTTTTCATTTTGTTGGTGGTTTCCTTGGCTGTGCAGAAGCTGTTTAGTTTGATGTCGCCCCACTTGTTTACTTTTACTTTTGGTGTCAAATACAAAAAGATGATCTCCACGACAAGGATCCTTTCCTGCTTTTTGAACAGGGGGCCCAACATTTTCATTTTGTGCTGAACCAGCAAATTATATAGTCCTTCCTGGCCTCCTGGGTGACCTTAATCTGGTGACCTTACCTTCTTTTTATTTCATTTCCTCCATTTCTGAAATGGTGACACCTTTGCAAGGGCATTGTCAACTTCAAACAGTGTAATTCAGTAATATGGGTTCGCTCACTACTTCCCTAGCCCTCTTTCTTCTTGTTTTCCTCTAGGTACTCTCCCCTCCTCATTACTTTTGGATTGATTTATCCATCAGTCCCCAGGTGGTTAATTGATTGATGAATGAATCAGTCAGTTGACCACCGAGGGATTGATGGATACATGGATAGGCTAATGGAAAGACTGTATATATATTTAGAGAGAGATGTGTGTGTGTAAGAGAAATACATAGATATTTAAGAAATATACAGAGATAGAAATTGATAAACATAGACTAGAAATACGGGTAGCTGTATAGGTATACATAGATATAGAGAAAGAGATGTCAGAAAGACATATATATAAATTCTATAATGTTCTGTGTTTATTTATTTGAATATATTTTTATTTATTTTTTTAGAGAGGAAGGGAGAGAGAGAAACATCGATGTGAAAGAGAAACATCGATCAGATGCCTCCTGCACGCCCCCTACTGGCGATCGAGCCCACAACCTGATCATGTACCATGACCGGTAATTGAACCAGGTCTCTCAGTCCATGGGACGGCGCTCAATCCGCTGAGTCACACTGGCCGGGCATAATGTTCTGTATTTAAATAATTTTATTATTTGTAGCCTTTTTAAATTTTAACTTATGAAACTCATTTGTGCCAAGCCTGACACCCAACTCATAAAATATGATGAATCATCATTAAACATAGACACAGAGAAGTGAAAAAACATTTTCTTAGTGCTCTTTACTCAGCCTTTGGGGTGTTGAGACCCCAATACTGGGTGCAGAAAATGGGGCACTTCAGACGGCTACCAGAGGTGCAGAGTCTACACTGCTGAAGCCCTGGAGCAGAGCACTGGAGACCCTTGGGGCACCATTTCCCTGCGAGCCCTGAGAGGCCATGAGACCGTCCAGGCTAGAGGAGAAGGTCAAAGTGTTTCTCTCCTTGGTGCGGCCTTGTCTTCTGTTAACGCTGCCAAGAGCCCTGAGAATGCCACTGCTGTGTCCCTGCTCGATGTGTCTCAAGAGCGAGCAGCTTCGTAGAGTGCAGTTGCATCGCACCCTGATACACGTCTAAACACAATCACGGAAAAAAGAATTTAATCCAAGTACTGTTTTATAGAACTTCAGGGATTCTAAGATGTCATGGGATAGTCATTGTTAACTAGAATTAAGGCACCAAGAGGTACAGCCTTTGCTTGAAATCCCTAAAAGCCATGGTGCTGCGAACACATTGCTGCTCGGCCCAGCGAGCTGGTCTCCCGGCAGGCCTTGCTCTGTGGGAGTTGGTGATGGGAGCTCATGACTGTCCCCTAAAAGCCGAAGCTGATTGGTTTTGCTTATTTGCAGTGTGACAATGAAGACGACTACAGGGAGACCAAGAAGGCCCAGGGGGAGAAGGAGGGCTCCTCACGACTGGCCGCATCTGCGAATCATTGCAACACAAACAGGTACGTGTGTTCCCTCGATGGCGGAGGCGAGCTGGAGGGGTCTTAGGTCTGAGGGTCATGTGCCACATTGGGGGAGAGTGATTTTTTAATGACCGTTCTGGTCTGGGTCTCCAGACCTGCTCTCCTTGGCTTGACCCGGGGCTCAGAACCGTGCCTGGACATGTGCCTGCTGTCACAGCGCCGGGGGTGTGTAAGTGCTTCCTTGTAACAAAAGCCCAGTTACTAGTTCCACACAGTGTGCACTCCGAAAGACAAACCCTTACCTCTGAAAACTTAATAACTGAAATTTTAAACCAGTATTTTAATAGCTGCTAGACCCATAGAACACTAACGTATTACACGGATGGAGAAACATAACTTGGAGCAGAATCTCCATGTAATGCGCCTAAGGCTCTTAGATACAGACTGAAATGCTGGTGTGGGGCAGGGTCTGTGTCTCCAAGGTCAAATGGCCACCTAGTGACTCCTCTGCAGGAGTTCTAGACAGACCCACAATGCACTCACTCCCCTCTGTGACAAATGTCTTTCTAGCAAGGCAAGGTCCCAGATATTTATCATAAGCAAGTAGCTTCTCATCAGTCACAGAAGCTTTTTCCATTTCCAAATACCACAGGTCGGAAACCACTTTTCCTCAGCTGAGATGCTCCTCGCTCTCCCTGACTGTGTACATAGAATTTTTAAGGGGAGATTAATGCTTCCGCACAACACATAAAAATGTAAACTGAAAGGTTAGGAAGAGATGGAGAGCGGCAGTAAAAGTCGGAGAGGAAATGGGAGAGCCAGGCACGTGAGCCAGGCCGCGATGTGGCACCACCTTGGGGAGCAGACAAGGGCTCCTGAAGGTCTGTGCAGGAGGGACAGCTGCACATGCAAGCTGGCCTCATCCACAAAGTCTGACCCAGTGGACGGTGTCCCAAAATATGGGGAAAATGTGATTCCAAATAGTCTTTCACATGTGCGACATAGTTATATGTATGCTTCCTTGTGCATTGGCATTCAGTCACCTTTATAGCAGATCTGTAACTGCCATGATTTCTAAGCCGTGATGATTATAAACAGTATTCAGTATGCTCGGTTTCAGTGAGAGGGTAATGAAAATGAGGATGTCCCCTTTTTCCCATCCAAGTTTATGGAGCCCAGGACATGAGCTCTTGCAGTCACTCCTTTGCCTGGCGGAGCCTGCCCCCCTGGCGGTTTACGTCAGCAACGACACAATGCGCAGGAAGTGCCTTGAGTGCTTTCTGTGTCCTTCCAGATCTGCGATGACCACTGTCAAGTTATACCCATGTGATAAGACAACCCATATATAAAGTGGTCACCCATCCCAAAAAAGACATCCAAAGAGAGGTTCTTTGGTCATCTTGACTCTATGAACAGAAAATGATGAAGAAGAAATCATCATATGTCCATGACAGCATTTTATATAATAATCTAGCTTTCCATGAACATTTAAAATCTTATATATGTAAAATACTAGAGACTTCGAAATAGGACTTTTTCACTCACATGTTAATAAACAATTATGTTCAGACTGTTTACATCCACCTTCACCACCAGTGTCTGCGTCGTCACTCACTGAGCCCCTTGATGGCTCAAGGCAGTTTTCCAGCCGCATCTTCTCACTGCTGGGCTGTTAAGCAGCCAGCGCTTTTTGAACCAGAAATGGACCACTGCAAATTATATCCCTGAACATGTCTATTTGCATAATCTACAGAACCTTGGCTTTATCATTTGAGGCCTGTGTTTGTGATTTCTACACTGTCACCGCCAACTAAGGAAATTGCTTTTTGAAGTGACTTTAAGGGCTGTTTGCAGTGATAGCCAACACATACAATTAAAAAGTCATAACTGCAGGAATAATGACTAAATCTTTATTAAATGGATTTACCTTTTTTTTTTTAACTGACTCTACCAGGTGACTTCTATGAGTATCCCAAATTAGCAAAGATTGAGTTTCATTCAAGCTAATGTGTCTTTTCCCAGTTTTTTTTCCAAAGGTAAATAATGGAGAGAGTCCGATCAATAGCTCAAGTATAAATGACTCCCTCCTCTGATGGTTAATTTTAGGTGGGAGAATTATAGACAGTACTTTTGAAAGTAAAATAAAGAGCCTAGGAATCAGACAATGTCACTTCTGATGAGTTTTCTACTCTGTGTTCGTTCTGATTAGCTGGGAAGCCTAATTGAAAGGTGCTTCTTGCTTTTCAGGTTATTCTGTGATCTGTTATTCTCCATGTCATAATTAGTATAAACCCAGGTGTTAGCAGAAGTCCCTTCAGAAGTGAGGAACACATATGTCATTCGATTCACTCTCCATTACTTGCTGCTTAACACTTATTAGGAAAACAGGAAGATGTTGTGTATTTTCAGATCCTTGGAAGAAAAACTTGGAAAATGAAAGCCTTATTGTTCTTAGTTATTTAACTCTAGAATTACTCTTCATCCTGTAGGACAAGTAAAGAAACAATGAGTGAAATTTGCTTATTGTTTGTTATGGTCCTAATGCCATAAAATTGTTTCCTGGTCTAATAATTCCCCATAAACGTCTTCCTACCAGCAGGTTTTAAATAGGAGGTTTGGGCCATATATAAAACATTTACCTCTCCCTGTGCTGGCTTGTGACATTCCATTACTGTGATTTTCTTTTTCAGCTTGGCAATACCCATAAATAAAAATGAAAAAATGCTCCGGTCGCCCATCTCACCCCTCTCCGACGCCTCTAAACACAAATACTCCAGTGAGGACTTGACGTCTGCCAGCAGGTCCAACGGCAGTGGCTTGTTTCCTTCCACCACCGCCAACAAAAAGCTGAAGTCCGAGAACCAGCTGCAGGCTCATGCCGCAGACCTCACGGTACGTTGATGGTCTTCCTGTCCTGTTAAAATGACAATGAAGCTGAGCACACCTCTGCACTCTACCTGTCTCTAGCCCAGCGCAGTCTGAACACATGCTTGAGGTTGGGGGAAAGGTCCCTGGCTGCTCTGGGGAGGCCTGGCACGGGAGCGCCCCCTGCCTCTCCCAGGAGGAGCCCTGCTCAGCAAGCCTCTTTGTAGGATTCCCTTTCCCATTCTGAAAGAACTGGCCCCAGTACACTGTCGTGGAACAAAGTAAATGGGGAGTTTGGGACCAACCCACCTTTTCCTTGCCCCAGGACAGAGCTAAACCTGGAATGGAAATCCCAGGCCAAAATGTTGGGGTTCTCACTCTAACCTGAGTGGCCAGCAGCCACAATGTGGGACCCCTGCCACCACCCCTTTGGCAGTGACCTCCTCAGAGGTGATTCCTGCACCCTACACTCCCCTGGGGGGGGGCTGGGGTTGGGGTCCAGAGTCTACTTAGCCTCATATTTAGTGAGCACATGACCTTGGGTCACTTGATACATCTCTCTAAGCCTGTTTTATTTGCAAAACAGTGTCATAAGACTTAAATGAGGTGATGTTATCTAAAGACCCCAACACCTGTGGACACCTGTGCTCGTTACTGACCTCTGTCTGCCAGCTATGCTCTGGCCCAGGCAACCTCTGCGCACATGATTCATTCCAAATCTCCCCACTGCGTTCCCTCAGGTCACTGTGCCTGTCAAAACCAGTGGGCACCCTGGCGGGGGGATTCAGTTCCCTGGAGGGTCATCCTGTACACCAAAAGTTGCAGGTTCAATTCCCAGTCAGAGCACATAACCAGGTTGCAGGTTTGATCCCCTTAATGCATTATCCCATGATTTAATAAGATTAAAGTCCTGGCCTGTTTGACTCAGCAGTTGGAGCATCAGCCCGCAGACCAAAGAGTCTAAGGTTCCATTCCAGTCAAGGGCACGTACCTCAGTTGCAGTTTGGTCCCCAGCCCCGGTTGGGTTGTGTGAGGCAACCAGTCGATGTGTCTCTCTCTCTCCTCTCTCTCTCTTTCTCTCTCTCTCACTTCATCTTAAGATAAATGGAAAAATATTCTTTGGTGAGGATTTAAAAAATAAAAAGATTAAAAAGTTGGTAGGTCTTGCAAGAGCCTAAATCTTGTTGTATTATCAGGAAATTAACCCCTACTGCAACCTTATTTGAGTACAATTATCTTTAATTCTAAGCTGCAAGAATCTAAGGAAACCATATTAGAAAAATGTGAAATAAAAAGGTACCAATTCAGCCCTGGCCGGTTTGGCTCAGTGGTTAGAGCATCGGCCTGCGGTCCGGAGAGACCCGGGTTCAGTTCCCGCTAAGGGCACGTACATCAGTTGCAGTTTGTCCCCAGCCCTGGTTGGTTGTGCGGGTGGCAACCATTCGATGTGTCCCTTTCACATTGATGTATCTCTCTCTCTCTCTGTTCCTCTCTCTCCCTCCCACTCTACCTGAACAAAAAATGGAAAAATGTCCTCGGGTGAGGATGATAAAAAAAAAAAAAAAGGTACCAATTCAAATTTAAAAACAGCCTTGGTCGTTTTGGCTTAGTGGTTAGAGCATCAATCCGCAGACCAATGAGTCGCGGGTTTGATTCCAGTCAAGGGCACGTACCTCAGTTGCGGTACATCCCCAGCCCTTGTCAGGTCATGCGGGAGGCAACCAGTTGATGTGTCCCTCTCACATCACTGTTTCTCTCTGTCTCTCTCCCACTGTATCTGAATAAAAATGGAAAAATATCCTCGGGTGAGGATTAAAAAAAAACAAAAACTGCCCTTTCCAGCATGGCTCAGTGGTTAGAGCATTGGCATGCACATCAAAGAGTCTCAGGTTCAATTCCTGGGTTGCAGGTTTGATCCCTGGTCCTGGTCAGGCTCCTGAGAGAGGCAACCAATTGATGTGTCTCTCTCATATTGATGTTTCTCTCTCTCTTCCTTCCTCCCTCCCACTCTATCTGAAAAATAAAAATCAATGGAAAAATATCCTCAGGTAAGGATTAACAAAAAAATGTATTTAAAAAAAAAAAAGTAAAATAAAAACTCTTCTTTGCCTCTAGATCCTTATGCCACAAGCAAAAAATGTATGGTGTACAGAAAATTGTAAAAAGAAAAATTAGAGACTTTATTTAGTCATTCTTTCACGGAGCAGATGGTCATTGTACTGCGGGCCAGGCGCTGCGCCAGCAGCAGACATGCAGCGATGATCTAACAGATTCAGTCCATGCCTGTGTGAAGCCGCCCGGCTAGCTGGGAGAGCAGTTCAGACAGGGGCCACACATCCAAAGAACCACCGTGCCTGCAAGAAGGAAACACGCAGAGGCTCTTCTAACAAGGAGGCTTTTTCTGCACATAAAATCAGTCCATATTGAAAGAAGCACTTGTATGCACTCCATTTTAATTACTTCAGAAGAATTGATTTGAATTTCATAACCCAAGACCGTGGTTTTCTGATCCGTGTGTTGCACACACAAGGGATGCTGTATAAATATTTGTATCCCCAAGAGTTATAATTTTTAAATGTTTCCACAGATCAATAGTGTTCCTTTTTAAAACATATTTTAAATAATTTCTAGTAATTCCCTCTGGCTTTTTCTAATCTTGACAGAGAATGAGAACCAGTCAATTTGGCATCTGAACAACTTCTCTTTCATGAGGGATTGTGCATTGTTGTTCTGCAAGCTTGGTCCCTGGATCAGCTTCACCTGGGCTTCTTAGACATGCATGTTCTCGGGCTCTGCCCCAGACCAAGTGAATTGGAGACTGGAGGTGGGGCCCGGCGGTCTGTGTTCACAAGCCCCTGAATGATTTCATGGAGAGGCCGCTTGGAGAGCCACTGGTCTACCAACTGGAAAAAGTGCTAAACCCTGGGATGTTTGAGCTTGGGCATGTTGCTTAACCTCAACAAACCGCGGTTTATAGATCTGAGAGAGTGGCCACACCAAGACTTCTCTGTTGCTCTTGTGAGGATGACATTGCACAGCCTACAGGGGTGGGCAAAAGTAGGTTTACAGTTGTGGGTACACAAAACACAGAATTGATTCTTATAATCATAACCTGCATGTCTTTTTCCATATGAAAAACTGTAGAGCTACTTTTGCCCCACCCTGTATATGAAAGCCCCCTTTTGGGAACTAGTATTTCTTTTTCTTTAAACAGAAAACACCATCAATCCTAACATAGAGTACAAAACACAAGATATTCTGTTTAACATGTTGCTCTTTCAGCCCAGTGACCCATTTCTCAAAACCTGGTGTGTTGTTTGTCGTTTAGAAAGCAGCTCACCACAATTCGGAGAACGTCCTCCACAAGTCACGGCCACAGACAGAGCCGTGGTCCCCAGGCTCCAGCGGCCACCGGGACTGCAAGAGACAGAAGCTCATCTTCGACGATATGTAAGTGTGGGCTGTTGATATGGTGGGGGGCTGTGTGGGAGGGAAACCCCACAGGTGGGGGGGTCATATGCCTCTGAATGACAGTGTGGCCATTTCTCGTGCGACTTGGTTGGTTAAGTGTCTCAAAGGGAATTGCAGCTTAGCTTTGAATGGATCCCTGGGGCCTGGTGGGACTTCAGAAGAGCTTGAATGACCAGTGCTTATGGGGTTGCAACCAGGATGTCTGTAAGTAAAGCAAATGGCATTAACAAGCCTTTCTAAAGGCCTGTATTTGGGACTGTTGGCAGTTGTATGCTACCAGAAAGAGAAGCATTTTTGTTTTGGTAAATTATAACAAGCAAAGAATAATAGTGATTCACTCCTGGAAGTTCTTTTCCTCTAAGATGCTATGTTCTTTATAACAGTATAAAGAGTTCTTATCCAGGAAGAAATCTCCTGTCATCCTTCACCCAGTCCTAGTACTCAAACCCAAGGATTACTTCCACCCCTGGCATCAATTTAAAAGGAGGAGAAACAAGAGAAGCCGATGAATAAAAATAACATCCTGGAATGCTCTTGAGGTGCTGAAAGTGACAAATGAGAAATGATGAAAATGATACTGAAAATTATTTAGGCTCTTAGGGAAAAAAAATACATGTCAAGGACAAGCCTGGAAGGCAGAAGAGACAGTTCCAAGAGTTTGGCTAGACTCTCGTTTTCAACGTCAGCATTCACCGGGCAACCAGGCATCTCTGTGTGAGGCTCCGCGTTAAACCCTGGGCTGAGCAGCATGTGATCGTGAGATCCTGCCCTCGGACCAGATTGCTTGTAGTCCAGCCCAGGGGACTCCCTAAATCACAAGCCTCACCCAAAGGCAGGACATTAAAGGATGCTAAATGTCTCCAAGTCCCAGTTTCCTTATCATTAAACTGGTAGTCATGACATCTGTCTTCGGGGGCTCCTCCTAGGATCCTCTCCAAAGGACACTCATCTGGAGAGTCGAAAGCACTGTGCAGACATGATGACTGTTCCAGCCCCGCCCTCCCCTCCGTTCCCCAGCCCTCATTTCACCTGAGTACAGACAGGGTCTGTTATCTGCTCTGTAGACCTCGCTGAGAAATGGGAATACAAGTTGTGGTCCTCAGGATTACCTGAGTTTCAGTAAGCTAATTTGGGCACAGAATTTGGGGGTAGAAAGCCAAATCCACATTGTTTTTGTTAGTTTCATTTACTGAACATGTTCCAAGATTGAAAGGTTAAGGGTGGCCCAGGACGCCCTGCTATAGTGGCTCAGTTGGTAGAGCGTCATCCTTTGCACCGGAGGGTTGCCGATTTGATTCCCAGCCAGGGCATACACTGGGGTTGCAGGTTCAATCCCCAGTCACCAAAAATTTTAGTGGTTTGATTTTTTATCAGGGTACACCTAGGTTTTGGGTTTGATCCCCAGTTGGGGTGTGTGTGAAGGCAACCAATTGATGTTTCTCTCTCACATCAATGTTTCTTTCTTTCTCTCAGCATGTCCTTGGATGAGGATTTAAAAAAAAAAAAAAGAGTGGCCCAGGAGTACTTGTGTACTCTTCCCACAGCTGCGGTAGCTGCTCTCAACCCCATGCATGCTCTCCTCCTGCCCCCCCCCCCCCATCTCTTCACCTTCTCTACTGCCCTAAGTAGCCAGGGAGGTAGTCATTGCTAAACAAAAAACTTTCATGGCCCAAAGCTTTCCTTCTTTTTAATTTTATTAAATTTATTTGGGTGACATTGGTTAATGAAATCATACAGGTTTCAAGTATACATTTCTACAATAGATCATCTGTATGTTGCATTTTGTGTTCACCACCCGAAGTCAAGTCACCATATATTTGACCTCCTTTACCCTCTTCTACCTGCCCCCCAGACCCTTCCCCTCTGGTGACCACCATACTGTTGTCTGTGTCTATGAGTTTTTATTCATTTGTTGCTTTCAGTTTTATATCCCACATTGAGTGAAATCATATGGTTATTGACTTTTTCTCTTATTTTGTTTAACATGATATTCTTAAGGTCCATCCATGTTGTTGCAGATGGCAGTATTTCATCTCTTCTTACGGCTGAGCAGTATTCCACTGGGTATATGTACCACAGTTTCTTTATCCAGTCCTCTGTTGAAGGACACTTGGTTGTTTCCATGTCTTGGCCACTGTGAATAACAGTGCAATGAACATAGGAGTAAATATATCTTTACGAACAAACGCTTTCAAATTTTTCAGGTAAATACCCAGAAGAGTGATTGTTGAGTCATATGGTAACTCTAATCTTAATTTTTTGAGGAGCCTCCATACTGTTTTCTATAGTGGCGGCACCAGTCTACATTCCCACCAGCAATGAATGAGGTTCCTTTTTCTCCACAACCTCTCCAACCCTTGTTATTATTGATCTTGTTGATAATAACCATTCTAATAGGCGTGAGGTGGTATCTCATTGTGGTTTTGATTTGACTTTCCCCAATAGCTAGTGAAGTTGAGTATCTTTTTATATACCTGTTGGCTATCTATATCTTCTTGGGAGAATTGTCTGTTCAGGTCCAGTGCCTATTTTTTAATTAGATTGTTTGTTTTTCTTGATGTTGAGTTATAAGAGTTTTTTATATGTTTTGGATGTTGACCCCTTATCAGAAATGTTGTTTGCAGATATCTTCCAAACTGCCTTTTTGTTTTGCTCGTCTCTTTTGCTGTACAGAAGCTTTTTAGTTTGATGTAGTCTAGTTCATTTATTTTTGCTTTATCTTCCCTTGCCTTTGAGGTCAGATTCATAAAATCCTCTCTAAGATCAAGGTCCATAAATTTTCTTCTATGTATTTTATTGTTTCAGGTCTTGTATTTTGTTCTTTGATCCATTTTAATTTTTGTAGATGGTAACAAACAGCAGTCTAATTCTATTCCTTTGCATGTAACTTTCCAATTTTCTCAGCACTATTTATTGAAGAGGCTTTATTTTCTCCATTATAAGTTTTTGGCTCCTTTGTTGAAAATTATTTGTCTATATATATGTGGGTTTATTCATGGGCTCTCAATTCTGTTCCATTGGTCTGTGTGTCTGTTTTTTGGCCAATACCATGCTGTTTTGGTTATTATTGCTTTGCTTTATAATTTGAAGTCAGGGAGTATGATACCTCCAACTTTGTTCTTTTTTCTCAGGATTGCTTTGGCTATTTGAGGTCTTTTCATGGTTCCATACAGATCTAATGATTTTTTTGTTCTATTTCTTTTTAAAATGCCATGGGGATTGTGTTAAAAAGGCACAGAGTAGCCCTGGCCGGTTTGGCTCAGTGGTTAGAGTGTTGGCCTGTGGTCCAGAGAGACCTGGGTTTGGTTCCCGCTAAGGACATGTACCTCGGTTGCAGTTTGTCCCCGGCCCTGGTTGGTCATGCGGGTGGCAGCCACTTGATGTGTCTCTTTTACATCACTGTTTTTCTCTCTCTCTCTCTTCCTCTCTCTCCCTCCCACTCTACCTGAACAAAAAATGGAAAAATGTCCTCAGGTGAGGATAAAAAGAAAAAAAAGGCACAGAGTAGTAGTGAATTGGATCAAAAAGAAAACCTAACCATTGTGCTGCCTTCAGGAGATACGTCTCAGCTGCAAGGACAAATAAGACCCAAAGTAAAAGGGTGGGAAATGATTCTCCAAGCAAATGACACCCAGAGAAAAACAGGTGTAGTCATAATTATATCTAACAAAATAGATTACAAGATAAAGAAGGTAACAGAAGGCCTGGCCAGTTTGGCTCAGCAGTTGGAGCATTGGCTGCTGGATCCTGAAGGGTTGCAGGTTTGATTCCCTTTCAAGGGCACGTACCTGGGTTGCAGGTTTGATCCCCAGCCCCAGTCAGGGTCATGCAAGAGGCAGCCAATCAAGATGTCTCCCTCACATCAGTGTTTCTCTCTCTCTCTCTCTCTCTCTCTCTCTTTTTCTCTCTCTCCCCCTCCCTCCTTTTCACTCTCTCTAAAAAATAAATAAATGAAAAAATATTCTTGGATGAGGATTACTAAAAAAAAAAGAAGAAGAAGATAACAAGAGGCAAAGATGGACATTTAATAATGATAAAGGAGACAGTCTACCGAAGCTTTTCTGAAAGAAAGGATTTATTGAGCCAGAAAAGGACAGGTCCTGGGCTGTGCCGTCTGACCCACCAGCAGCAGGGCCAGTGGAGACGGCCACCTATGCCTTCCTGGGGTTGACCCGTTCTTTGGGAAAGAAAGATGTAAGCTGTTTTGAATGAATTAACATTGGTTACAGAGGGGGCCAGGAATAGGTGAAGCGGAGACAGTTCGAGGCAAAGACCAGGTGCACAGGCCATGAGGAAGAAATAGTTACTATTTTTTATCAGTTTCGGGTAACAGTCATGAAAGTTCATGCACGTACTGGATTCGGTAGCATCTTTTGTCCACTGCAGACGTTGATTCTCAGACTCCAGCATCCGTTCAGGAATGGGAGCTGTCTGGGGTTCGTGGGCCCACAGCTGTTAACTGCTTGATTGCTCTTCCTCCTCACTCTCTGCCTGCTGTACTTTCATTCCGGACATCCCAGAGTTTTTCTCTTGTCATCATTAATCCCCTAGGTGGGGGGTGTGGAATGTGAATACAGTCAGTTGGTCAACTACATTTATAATTAGGGTTCAGAGGTGTAAATTGTTCACAGGAGATTGGCCCATTTGTAAAATCAGGAGATTAGAATTGTATTCAGTTACCACGTGGAAATTTGTATTTGGAACTCATCATCTAACAGCAGGTCAAGCACTGAGAGACACTGGACACTGCAGTGCCCAAATCACCAAACATGTCCAGCAGGTGATGTTAAGGGCATGGTATTTACACACACATGTAAAATGAAAACGCAAAGAATTTTCTAATGTATGGACCAGAAAGCTGAATCTGAAACAGCAACAACTGAGTGGTTGTACTTTGCTGTGCAGTTTCTTGAACTACTTATACAAGAAAACGTTTCTTAATCTACCGGGGTTGCAACTAATATAATTTTGTCACTGTG